TTTCCCTTGGAGGTCAGATAGACTTCTCCCAAAATCTCTGGAGCCTTCCTTCATCTGCTACCTGGTCCTCTTCTCCAAATAAAGCCCTTTTTGTCCTTAGAAGAAAGGAAAGGGCCAGGGCAGCAATTGTACAAGGGCAGAATTGCATATGTCTAGCATCTCTGAATGTTCAGAGAACCACACCGAGTGCTTATGAGCAATCAATATTAAAGTTCAAAGCCTGCAATTCATTTTGGAAATGAGCACAAACCCATCTTTAGTTTGGGCAGTCTATTTCTTGTTTACTCAAGTCATCTTGCCTTATCTCAGCTAAGTACTACAAATCTAATGTGTGATCTTAGCCAGTGACTAGCAGTGAATGACGTGTTCACAGGGGCATTGTCAATAAACATCCCCCATTTCCTTTTTTTATACAAAAGAGCACTTATTCAAGAACAACTTGTGCGGACAAGAAAAGCATACCTCAACAGACCCCATATAAGCTTTAAGAAACTTAACTTTCACATGTCCGGTAGCTATCACCATTATTGAGTAGGAAATTATTGAGAACAGAGGAGATTGTGTCTGAGGGATTTCTTAGTTTTCTTTTAATGCCCAAGGGGGGGAATTGTTTTGTGTGCTATTACGTATCATTAGTTACTGTTTTTATTCCCAAATAGCAAGGAGAGAGATGAGATGATAGCAATATTCTAAAGGAAAAGGATGGTTAAAAAAACCACAAGCAAATATGAATTGCTTCATTAATAATATATTCTACCTGAATCAGGTATGCTCGGACAGCAGCAGCAGAAAGAGGAGGGTATGCAAGAATTGGCTTTAGTGTTTCTCCAATGCTATCACTGATAAGATTTCCATCTGAGTCATATGCCGCAACTGCAAATATGTAACTCTGGTTGGGCTCTAAGTCTTCTACTTCCAAGATGCAAGTTTCATCAAATGGTACCTTAAAATAAAGAATAACTTCATTGGGTCAAAAAAGAAATAGCACTATGGTAATGGACAGCAGTATAAACAACGATAGCAGCAGCTTTGGTACCATACACTTTGGCACAGTTATGGGAGGTGGGCTTTAAAAGCTCGTCATAAATTCCCTAAAAAGATGTGTGCGATTTACACATTGTAACCAAAGAACTTTGCTATTACCAAGACTAAAAATGCCACTAAAACCTGGATGATTTCTAAGTGACAGCTCCCCTTCATTTGCTTTTCTACGGGATATTTGCCAACTTCCTCACTGTGTCATGAACTGGCAAGGGATGGGGAAGGAAGCACACATGGGGTGATGGAGGATGGCGAGGGGATGGTGGTCAATGCACATTAACCAGAGCAGCAGGACCCATCACCAGAGCCGGAGAGGCCCCTGACTCCATGAACACAGTGGGCTCTGAGGCATAGGGAGGGGCAGGAGGGGCGCTCTAGGAGGCTGAGGCAGGCAAGGGCAGACAGGCAAGCTCCCTAGCTGGCCAAGTGCGGCTCACTAGCTCTGGAAGTGTGTGATTCCTCAGCTGGAGAAGACAGAATATATAAGGGCCATGTGCCTCATCAAGGCCAGATGTTGCAATCAGCATGCAGGAAAAGGGAAGCAGAGCTGAGATGATGTGTCTGTTCAACTGCCCATGTTGATGGACCTTGGCTTGGATGCTCCTGGGCCTCTATGGGGCTGTGCTTCAGGTGTGACTCTGGACTGCATTCTGATCACTGGACTTCAGACTTGGCTACTTGGATTGACCCTGGACTGTTGTTTCCTGACCTTTGGACTTTGGACCAGGTAGGCCAGGGGTTCAGAACACATTGCTATTCACAGGTCTTTTACACTACAACAGAAATCAGAAAAAGTTCACCTATCAGGCATATCATGCTTTAAACTTCAAAGAACAAAGTTCAAAGCATGAAAAGAAGATGCCTGTTATATATGCCTGTTCTTCTGATCAGTAGGTGAACCACTAAAATTCTATTAGAGAGAAGGAAAATGTTCCTTAGGGTTTCCAGTGCCTATAAAGCACTCAGGATTCAGATTATGAACCACATCAGCAACCATCACATTGTAACACCTACATGCTACCGATTTCCTGCCATTAATACTCAATACAATACAAACACCTTCAAATCAGGAACATTATGGCCTAGCACATTTTTTTTATTCTGCCCAGGGAGACCTAAAAATCCATCACTAATCACTACTTGCATCAGTGCTATTTGCCAGTTCCTCACTGAGCCCTGTCAGGTTAATATTGGTGGAAACACCTGTCTGTATATCCATCATTGTGTTAAACCTGTAAATATGCTGGTACCTGACAGAACAATGCTAACACCACAACTGGTCCTGCTGGATAGGGTTAGGATAAATTGGATGGTGCCATCTCTGCCAGGAGTAAAGCTCTGCCACAAAAGAGGCCCCCTCTGAAAGTGAAGGTGTTTGAGAAGCTACCACTAGCAGTGTTCCTATCAACGGGTAGCAAGCTTAGGGCCTCAAAATAGGGTGAGAGGCAGGAAATGTACGAGATCCAGACACAGATCCACTGGATTCAAATCTAGTTCACCCTGACAGGAGCCTAATTTGAGCCCCCCATCTGGACTAAAAAAAAAGTCTACCACCTTCCACCCTGGCTGCTGTAAGACAGTCCTGCTGCCCCCTTAGAATTATTTTTTCTTTGTTATAATAATTATACAGGGAGGGGGCAGTGCCTTATTTAAACTCAATGTTACTGGCCTCTTTTTACAGTTTATGCTTGGTGTAGGAAGCAGATTTGGGCGAGACCCTGGCGTGACCCATTTAGAGTAAGTAGTCAGGAAGACAAACTCACAGAGGGCCACGATTATAGAAGACCTTACCACTTCTGCTGTATTCTTAAGGCTGTAATTATTCAACCGGACTTTTGGGTTACATCCTTCTGCTACACGTCCAAAAATACAGTACCATGCAATCTTTAAAAAGAAAATGAGAGTTGCAATATGTACATCAGTAGAACATCAAAGGAAAAATGTTTAGGACTGCCCTATAATACCTGGCAGTTAAACAGTAAGTTGCTGGGAAAATAGTTTCCAAATCACTATGGGGTTCTAATTATGGTGCTACTTAATTTTGCAAAGTTCACAAAAGGAAAATTTCCCATTCCCTCCTTCCCCCTGCAGCTACCTGTGAATAATTACTTTAAATTAAGTTGGTTGTTAAATGTACATGTTAAATTTATTAGGGGTGCTCCCTGACAGGTGTTTATTGTAGAATAAGTGTTCCTCATGCACCCAAATTCTGAGTTTTCACACGACATCACTGACATCCAAACACCAACCTGATTTCCCACCACCACTCTGCATTTGCTCTTTCTTCAATTATTTCAATAAGATGTAAAAAATAAACTTGCTGCAAACCATCCATTTGTCAGATCTGAACAATATTAAACCCCTATCTAGAAGCACCCTAAATTGCATTTAATGTTAAAACAATAATATAGCCACTGTATTTTATTATATAATTTTGTAGTTTATGAATGCTTTAAAGTCCCCTTTTGTCTGGCCTCAGGGGTCTGCAACCTGCGGCTCCGGAGCCGCATGTGGCTCTTTTACACCTTTGCCGCGGCTCCGGGGCTGATACTAGCGAGGGAGGAGGCGCATTGTGTGCCCCGACACTCCCCCACTGTGGCGGGCGCCTGTACTGGCTGTGACGTCGCATGGGGGCAGTGCCGTGCGTTAGTTTTGTGGCTCCCAGGGTTTTTTTGTTCGGAACGGGTCCAAGTGGCTCTTTTTGTCTTAAAGGTTGCAGACCCCTGGTCTGGCTGAAAGTGCCCTTCTGAGTTCACTCCCCACCAGTGAAAACCCCTTCTAAAAAGCACTGGATTATATTTGTTACCTCCCTAGGAAACAAATTCTGCAGCATACAGGTGCTAATACAATATACTGTACATTTAAATACTGGCTTCTTCAAATACTGAAGTCATAGAAGCCCACAGAACTAAAAATATGTGTGAGACATACAACATAGTGCTACTTTGTAAAACAAAATATAGCAATTTCAATGGAAATACTCAATCATTTTCAATTTAACAGGTATGCCTATAGTTCACGTTACTGAGCAGTATTGACCTTTCTGTCTAAATATTTTATGTATTTTAATGGAACTTTAGAATGTCAAACAATATAATCATGAATTTATTTTCTAAAATGTGGTTCTAGAGTGATGAACTGTCTGGTTTACTATCTACAATTTTTAAAAACCTTTTTAAAAAACTTTATGAAAAAGGACAAATGTGACATATTGTGCCACCTAGTGATGAATGCTCTGATCTGCATAAAGCATTGTGCAGAAACAACTGCGCCATAGCAGGATGTACACAGAGCACAAATTTATCTTCTGTCGATACTTAAATACGTGCATAAAATATTTTACATTTAAGATATGTCAGTGAATTATCTCACTGATGGATGAACACCTTGCATGCTCACACTGAATATTGAACATAAAATTATATTTAAAAAGAAGTGGAAAAGGTACTTGCATTCCTTATAATCAAGCAAAATATAATTCTGTGTAAAAAGTATGTGTATCCCATTGACTCATGGCAGTATCCAAGTTCTTCTGCTAGCAATGGAACTCCACCTTTGCCCCACTTTCCTCTCCCTGCACTCCTCCTAAATCTGTTACGGAGTTTCCCCAAACCCTCCAGAGCAGGGGTGAGAAAAGAGGGAGGGAGTTCTGTTGTGCAAATGAAATCCTTGTAGTACTTAGAACTACTGTGATGGATACCATCCACGAGTCAGAGTCCAACATGGCATGAGCAGACTTTTACTTGCGCAACGGGACTTCATGTTCTTCTCCCTCCTCCAGTCCCCAAATCACTCTGAAGCAACCATTCAGGGTAGATTTTGATGGCAGATGGGAACTGTAGTGAGGAGGAGAAGGGGAAGTCCCATTGCATGAACAGATTCCATTCCACTTGCACACAGAGTTGGATACATTCAAACCCTTGGCCATATTCATGCACAACAAACTGGCCAAATGTTGTTTAGTGTATATATGTGGGTGTGAGTGTGCTAAAAGGTATTACCTTAACATCCTGATCAGCAAATGGTGCTGGTTTAAAAAGCCATGGAATTGTGTGATCTGGACAGCAATATAGGAGGAGGTGGAACTTTGCTTTTTCGCGCTACTTGCAGGTTGCAAGAAAGCAGAACGTATTGCATTTTGTTCAGCTTCTGCTTTCTGTATTAGAGTAAGCGCTTCCTAAGATTTTAAAAAGGCTCAAGAATGTTATTTTGGCTTACATATACTGTATTTCAGATGCAAACAGAAAGAATAAATATAAACGAACAGCTGATTCATAGGGAGAGAATAAGAACAGTCAGGAATGCAACATTTTAGTGTGTGCCTGGACAAGCATTTTTTCACACAATTTATGTGCACATTTATGCAAAGAGCGGACACATTCTGTACCCCACCCAGTGATCTATCACTGTTTCTGGTTTGCTATTAAAGTTTGTTCCTTGTTTACCAAAATTTCATTACAGAGGTCCCTGCCATAGCCCCTCTTTCCAGACTTTGTCCCTGGTCCTCCTCTTTTATCATCATTTCCCACCCTAAGTTATGAATTTGTACCTACAGGCGTTTGTAGCTATAGCTTTGGAAAGAGAAAAGTACATCATCTATGGAAAATGCAATCAAGATCAGGACTGAGACAGAACTGAAATGAAGAGCAGTGGCCCTAAACAAACCCTTATACTTGGACCTAGCGAAATCTAAGTGGTTTATCACAAATTCATTGGACAGTCTTCTGCTAGTTACAACCCCTGATTTAGCTTCTCTATTTAAATAAATAATAATGAGCTATCAGAGTTGGAGTGAGAACTATCACTCCAGGGTGAGGGTCTGTTGGGAGCGATGACACTTTCATGCCTCAAGCAACAGGCAGGAACAGTTCCCACTTGGGGGTGCCCAATGGAGAAGAACCATTCCAGTAGGAATGTTAAGACTCCCATAGGTTTCCAAGTACAGTACATGAAAATCTTAACCAAACTCTTCACTAAAGTAATATTTCTATACATTTATATGTAAATAAATTTATTATCTGCAACTGAAGACAGCATGATGTAATAGACCTCCAACTGTTATTATGTCTTGTTGTTTATAAACCCAAAAGTGGGGTTCCAGGGAAGAAATGCCTGGTAGGAATGTGTCCTTGACCTGTGATACAGGCTTACTGATTGCCTGAATGGAGGGTGAGTTGGTGGGCTGGTAAGGTGAAACCTCTTATTTTTGTTGTGGTTAGAATATAGCCTACTGTACATTCTTCTACCCATGTCCCTGGAAGGTTTCCCAAACGGGAATACAGCCTCCAGGCTGAAAGAGGTTCCTGACCCCAGGCCTAAATCTTTCGTTTCCCACTACCTGAATCATTGTTAATGCTTAATAGAAATAGAATTACACTTAGTAAATATGATTTTGAGAAGTGATTTCCTAAAAACTCACAATTAAAAAAAGAAAAAGACCTGCCAGGTTTGCTGCTATTGTTAAATTTTAACATTTATATTGCCAACGATTTCCTCAGAGTCTTCAACATACAATTATGCCAACAGCAAACTAATATAAGGATGCATAATAATGGGACTTCCGTTAATTGCACCGGTAATTTATATTACCTCAAGCAGCTGTTTTGGGGAAGAACTGACTGCCCCTACTGGCATCAGTGTAGCCTTCTGCATCAAATAGAGAGCCCTGGACAATTTATTCTTCTTTATTTTATTTGTTACATCTTGTTCTGTGAAGCAATTGTTTAAAGTAAAATAGTAAATCAGGCAAAGCACAGTGTTTCCATAATCTAATTTTACAAGTACATATTAATGTACATTACCTGTTAAATGTTTGAACTGGTGTAGATTCTTTGCAGTGGCCTTTGATTTGATATTTTTACCACCACTCTGAATGCCTACAAAGAAGTAAGCATTAGTTTATATCAAATGTCATTTGCTTAAAACAACGTAATACATTAGATTCTATATGTATTTATCATCCCACCGTGGCATTAGGATTACTTTTCTGTTTCATTTCATTTGACTCTTCAGATTGTATAAAACTAGAGTGTACACTGAAGTATGCAAAATTGCATCCCCTTTTATGAAGCCTGGGTGGCTTCACACACTGCTAGGCCACACACAGTTGCTGCAGATACAGCTGCCTACTCAAAAGATGCAGGTGTAGCATTGCAACACATGCTGTGGATATCACCTTTCTGCACCTGAGTGCAAGCACCAGGAGTCCTGAGTGGACAGGTGGGCCCACTGCATTTGCATATAGATGTTTCAAGATGCATGTATATTATCCACAGTTTGCAAGTTTGTTAATTTCAAATCTGAGATGAATAGAAAAGGTTTATTTAGGCCCAATATTTGGATTATTCCTGGTTTAGAATGAGGGGTGCCAGATGCTTGCAGCATAACAGAACTCGAAACTCAAAAGCTACTCGTGGAAGAACAAGACAGACAGAATGCAAAATGAATGCCTTCCTTGTATTGAAAAGTGGATGCTTAGGATGCTTCACAATGATCTTCAAATGATTTTTTCCCCTCACTTATACTTAACACTAAAACATTTAAATCAGGGGTTCATGAAATGGTACTGTAATTCTGAGAGAGTGCGTAGTCTTGCTTTTTAAAAAAAACAAAAAACAAAACTAACATTAAGTAATCTGGCTCAATAGCCCAGCTTCATCCACTGTCCCTCAGGAAAACTCAAGAAGATGAAGGAAAGGTGTAGAAACAAGCAAAGTGGTACACTTTCTTTCCCTGTGACCCTGGTGCCCCTCCTAGCTTTTTAAAGGGCAGTACTACTGCAGTAGGTTTCTAATGGTCCCTCTGTATTCTGTCTTGGTGGCAGTTAATCTTCCAAGTCTTTTGGACAGACATTTCCAACCCAAGAGGATGGATCTGTTGATTGGTGAATTGCTCCAGCTTGCTGAATTGCTCCTTCTCCCCGCTACTGGGCAGCCTTCATCTCCTTTCAAAGGTGATCATATCCCACCATATGGCACCAACTCCTTCTCCAACCCTTGTGCCAGAGAAAACCAGCCTCAGCTTTCACTTTGGGGTCACGCAATGGCCCAAATGAGCCATGCAACACAGGCTTGGGAAACCAGCAGATCAATCTCCAGTTCCCAGCCACACAATAGATAAACACTCCAGTGCTGGGATACTGGGGAGTGAATGAAATTTATTTGAAAATTTAATGTAAAAAAATAGTGTTTACAAAATGGTATGGTATTCATCAATACTAATACATATGCGCTTTTGAGAAGGCACTTCTGCAACCATGTTACATGTACCATAAGAGGAATAGATAAACTAGCTGGGTAGAAAAATCTCTTATTTTTAGCAATAAGCACTGCACTTTGACTATGTATTTTACATACAGTGTAGGTACTACATTGGACAACAGTCATCCACATCCACCAAAATAGCCAGGAAATCAGTGAGCTTTAAAAAATATATATAATGGGCAAGATTTTACATCATATTACCATAAAGCCGTACTGGTCTTCCTCTGTGAAAATCTTTTACTAAAACATGGCATCTGTCAGTTTTACTTAATCTTACCTTGTGGCAAGTTAAGAAGTTTAACAGCCACTCGATGCTGAGCCTGAATAAGTTCAATGTGTAAATCCATAATAAAATTGTTTCCTATTACGGATTTTTCATTGATGTCATATGCTGACCATTTGTTCCAATTCTGATAGAAAGGAATTAAACAAAATTCAGTTTTAAACATTTTAGGGGGTATTTTTCAGTGTTACTGGTGACGATTCTTAAAAAATTCCTTTTTGGGGTTCCATTAAACAACCCTCACAAAGGGCAATAATAATCACAAATAAATAAAGAACAGATGGGACAGAGCATGGAAATAAACATTACACACAGAGACACACACAATTATTTCTTTTATTAAAAAGATGCTTAAAAAAAAGGCATTAGAGAAAAATACCCTAATGATCTGTTCTAATAAATTTCATTACCACTTCATTCATCTTAACTTTCATCATCTTACATATCATTCATTCTTTACGTTCCCATGCTATAATGCAGAACAAGAAAGAATTATCTCCATTATAAGTATTATTATTTTTTTGCCAAAAATGCTTGTTTCAGGAATTTTGAGTGATGGATGTCTGAAATGTCTTAAAATTATGTATACACTATACACTTGCTCTACTTGAGGAAAGCACAAACCCATTTAACAGACATATGCAGTTAATACATGTGAAAGCCTTCTAATTTTTGTATAGTGTGCAAAAGTTGTATTTGCACCTACAGAAATAGATATCTCTTGCAAAATTATTGAATGTTTGGTTAAACATTTAGAGACAGAATCAACTAACCTGCTGCTCTGGGGGAAGCCAATGCAATGGCTCTCCCTAGTTCAACAGGACTTCTCTACTCTCCTTTCCCCAAATCTGCTTTGGAGGGTGAGAACCCTTATACAGTCAAACCTCGGTTGTCGAACGTAATCTGTTCCGGAAGAACGTTCGACTTCCGAAACATTTGACAACCGAAGTGTGGCTTCTGATTGGTTGCAAGAGCACTCAAGCGGAAGCTGTGTCGGACATTCTGGTCCAAAAAATGTTCAAAAGCTGAAGTATCTACTTCTGGGGTATTGGCGTTCGGAAGCCAAAATGTATGATAACGGAGGTGTTCGGGAACTGAGGTTTGACTGTAACAGTACACACAAGGAGAGGAAGAGGGAGATTGTTCTGCCTGGCAAGTGGAAAGGCTTACATGGATGGAATGATAGTCATAGTGAGAAACTCAATTCTACCCTATTAAGCTAGGTTGTATACAACTCTGACACAACTCCTGAAGAGACACTTGAATAGGTGAAACAATGGAGTGGGGATCAGTTATTTAAAAATCCCCACCCAGTTATTTAGAAAGTTATTAAAAAATCCCTACCCAGACAAATCCCTATGGATGTGTGTGTGAGAGAGAAAGAGATGCGCTTGGGAGATAGAAGCATGTTTGTGCTGTGAGAGAGAAGTGTTATATATGTTTGTGTTGTCTATTTGGCCACTGCCATGGGCAACAGTAGCAGCTGTTCCTCTTAGCAGTCAAGCTCCCATTATTTTCCCCAGAATGACACATAGAGGAGGAAGATATGAGAAATATGGCACTGCAGACAGACAAGCAAAAAAAATAAATAATGGATGAAATAATTTCAGTAGAATGGAAAAGCTCCACTGAAAATTGTTAAGAGAATTGGTGGATAAGAAAAAAAAATGAGAGATATATAGATCAGATGCTTAAGCAGTTTAGGGGTGAGAGAAAGAAAATGGGATGAGAAGGTGGAAAGAAAGAGTGGGAAAGGGGGTGCTCTCAATGAGCCAAGCAAATCTGAGCATTGTGGTTCACATCAGTTGAAGCTCATACCTTTTTGCAGCAGTTATCAAGCACCGATGTACCATCAGGTAAAAGAGTAATTAGGCGAGCTCGATTCATTGCATTAATTGCTCTGTCCAGGTACTCATAAGCCAAATGCAACTGTTCTGATGGAGATTTCTAAAAGGAGTCGACACATTAGATTAATAAAAATGAAAATTGGAAAGCTACTGATGTTGGTTCTAAGACAAATTTAAGAACTAGAAATAAAAAGGAGAGAAGCAAAATGAAATCTTTTGGGGTCCATATGAACAATTTGCTCACCAGCTAAAAGCTAGTAGATAATTGCTAAGATTATTCAAATTGCATGCACAAGATTATTCCTGCCCCAACAATCATGCAAACAATTCCCAACTTGCTAACCATTATTTCTAGTTTTGGCTTCTTTTATCCTCATTATTTGGTTCTGGTTAAATGTGGGTCTATATACACAGCAAAGGTTAATGCAACACATACGTAGGATGTGTTGATACTAATTAAGGAACTGTGAGTTTGTAAAGATGGAGAAACTCATGCCCTGCTCCCACACTCACCCGAGAGTAGCTTGGAGAAAACCTGAGCTTGATATATATCTGTGTGTGTGTGTGTGTGTGTGTGTGTGTGTGTGTCGCACTTTCCTATCGGTTTTCCTTACCTGTTACCTCTATTCAAAATTATGTATATTAAGCAGTGGCATATCTTAGTCTAGTAGAAAAGGAAACTATACCTGTATTAATGAAGGCACCTCTTCAACACAGTATTCCAAAACCAATGCAGCATCATTTTTTTCTATTGGCACTAAAGAGGCAGAGAAATCAAGTTAGAAAGGGACACTGTAGTAGATATATTAACCAAAGACTCCAGCAGTGAAGTCTTCTAGTTTGTTACCTTGTTTCTACAACGGCAAATATTTATCATGCATTGACAAAGTAGCTAAATATATTTTGTCCAGAATTTAGCAGCTGCACATAAATGTCATACGATTCAAATTTCAATTTAATGTACAGCACTTTTCACAGAGGCTAATGCTAAACAGACTGCAGTCCTAGCGAAATGCTTCCTAAATGATTCTGTAGTTTCATTTATCAGGTAACAGAAAATATTGTATTTCAAAACCATAGTTTTCCCACTAAAATATTCTCATTGGCATCCTTCTCTTTCAGAAGACAATGGAAGATGGCAAGATCCCCAAGGATGTGTTCTACGGGGAGCTGGCTTCAGGCACCAGGCCTGTTGGCAGACCAACTCATTAAAATTAACATTTTAAAGAATGAACAGTGCAATCAACTGCTTAAGAAATCTCAGCCAAGTCCCCAGCACCAGCTCATCTTGAAATATGCCGACATGAAGGATTTTATACTGTGGCAGCACCAGAGTTATTCTGGCAAAACTTTCTGCTAGGGTAATCCCAACACTGCTGCAACACCAGTATGATATAAACCTTTAAAGCCCTGCATAGAAGCCACCAAATTTGAAAAAAGGAAAAGAAAAAACCCCTCATTTATGTAAGCAGGGGTAGCAAACCTGTGGCTCGCCAAATATTGTTGGACTCCAGCTCCAATCAACCCCAGCCAACACAGTCTATGGTCAGGGATGATTTGGACTATAATCCAAAAACATCTGGAAGGCCACAGTTTAGCCACCTTGAGATAAAGAAAAATATATGCAATTCTCTACACAGATAACATTTAGGCTTCAGTCCTATACTCATTTACTTGGAGTTAAGACCTGCTAACCACAATGGGTCTTACTTGTGAGTAGGCATGTCTAGAACAGCACTGATAGAAACGTAGTTATTAAAAGTTATTTGCTCCTGGCAAGTTCAAGTTAAGAAAGAAAAGCAAAATGCTTTTTTAAAAAAAATTCCAATTTGATCGGTCCCATACATGTTTATGTTTCAGCATGCCTACCACTTCCTATAACTTTCTTACCCATTTCTATCCCTCAAAGGACTTTTTTATTTCAGTGTGTGCAACCAAAATGTGGGGGCTAATAACATTGCGGATACTTAAGACACTTACTTTCTATAGCTCTTATCTTAAAATTTGTTGTACAATAAAACTTAATTATCTACAGGCAATGCTATCACAATTGTTATTCAATTCCTTTTATTATGTTCTTACAAAAAAGTACTACACATTTACAAGTTCCCCATACGTGTTTTAACTCCTACTATAGTCTCCCCACACTACCAACATCTCATATGAATAGTTCCACACATCATCTTTATCGCTGCTAATGTAAAACAACATCACTACATTACCGTAGTTTGCCTGCATTTTCTTAAACAATAACATCAACTGTATAATTCAGGTCGCTCTAGAGTCTAAATATACAAGTTTTTACTGAAATTCACTTATACTCTCTTGAAAAACATTTTCCCATCTATTTTTAATATTGTTGTGAATAGCTTAGAGGTCATTAAGTATTTTATACAGTTTGGGTAAAAGCTCTTATTTGAGGAAAGGAAGAGTTCTACAAATGTAGTTCGTGATCAAAACATATCTGAGCTCCTATGTAATTCACAGAGGGCTAGGTTATCTTAAGGGCTCTGAAGTCAGCATAGGAAGCCTGCTCCTTTTGTCTCTTTAGCAGATGAGTGTTAAGGAATCTTCTCCTTCAGGAAATCTAACAAGCTCCTTCCTTTCCCATAAGATGGTTACCAAAACCCTTTTTGTTCCAGGATGAAATTTCACAATTGCTTCCGTTGTTAGTTTAACGCAAGTGCGGTTTTGTGCTCTACGTATATTTTAGTGCTGTTTTTAGTATTGACACATTTTATTTCCTATAAACCCCTTTGATAATTGGTTTTTAAAGTAGATATTAAATAAAAAGTAAAATAAAATAAAATAATAAAAGCTAGCATTCAGGCTTCAAAAGAATGACTGCTCAAAGAATGACTGCTCAATCTTCACTGCATTATGTGGCAATTGTGCATTGTCTAAACTGGGGGCAGGGAGACGCAAGTTCAATAGACAGAGTGCAGATATATCTGGCCTTAGCTACATCTGTTTTTCCTACGCCACCCTGCTCCCGCAAAGCCCAGCTCCGTGTCCCCCACAAGTGCTTTTACTTGGCTGTAATGTATCCTTAATTGTAATAATACCTCTTGCTTGTCGGGAGGGAGGATGGAAAGACTGACGTATAGGAACTTCTAGTGTCTGCATGGCTCAATTGTAAGCTACTGTACAATGGCACATTTGTTCGCCCTGGCTGCTTTTGTCTCTGGCCACACCCCACTACTGGTAAGTGACCTCCAGGAGCTTGCCCATAGCAGAATGCAGCCTTGAGGACTGAAAAAACTTCAAGATTTTAAACTAAGCTCTGCAGAGAGCTGTCTGGAGTGCCAGTGAATCCTGAAATCCTCGCATCTCCTTGTCCTGCTTGCCTGGTTCTAACTTTTCCCTTAGGTCAGAACACAGGCTGCTGAGGCCATCAGTAACAGAATGTTCCTAGCTACAACCAACCAATGTTTTCATAAAGACTATACCTGATGTGGTTCCACATTTGATTGTGAAGTCTGCAATAGTCTCCATCACTGATGTTAGCCGTAATGCAACTTCCGCCATTACCACAGTATTAGTATCTCCAAGATTAATGGCATGAATCACTTCATTAATTACATAAAGTATGTGGACCCACTAAGGAGGAAAAAATATTAAAACCATTTTACATTTTTTATTTAAAGTTATTTAAAAATTGTGAAATGAAATGTGGCGAGCAACTGTGTGACATGGATATGGCAGGCTGCATTTCCTAGAGATGAAGGACAGAGCCACAACACACTGAATTGTCCCATCTGTGAAGGTGCAGAGTCCTAGATTTCCCCTTCAGACATAGATCCATGCCCTGGACCTCATCTATGTTCTTTAAAGCCACCTGCCTTTGGAGGACAGTATCACTGTCAAGCTAGACTGCCACTGACTTTTCCTCAGCCTGGGGGATGGACTCAAACTATCAGTAAATGGCATGGAACAGTCACACTCTCCCTGGGTCCCTGCTTCTCAAGCTGCTAGCAAACCTTTGCCTGTCATGCCAACCGGTTGCTTCCAAAACACTAAAGTTGAAGCTCCTCCACATCTTATACCTTTCCTCTCTTAGTTTTCAAGTTTCTGTGCCAGTCAAACTGACCTTTCATTTCTCTTATAGAAATTGCCCTGCATGTCAAGGTATAAGCTATTTATACTGAACAGGTAGAGTAACTAATGAGCATGCATCATTACCAACACCACAGGAGCATTTGTAGATAGCTGGATGTGTGATACATAATTAACCTTAATCAACATGAGTTATGAGAAAGGTTTACCTGGCTGTCTGGTATTTAAGAAGAGACTTTAAAGAAATAGCTTCCGCTATTTTGGATCCTCAAGAATTGCAATTTTGCAACTTTTGCCAACAAAAACATGGTTGCATCTGTCATCATTTCTCTGTCTGGCAGGAGAACCTAAGGAAAAGGTATTTTTTCAAAGATTTCAACTACCTGGCTTTTGAGGGTGTGAAGTCACAAAATTTAAAAAACCCAATAATGCATTTGCAGGATTGAAACACTAGTATCTCATCCTTCTCTTCCCTCCCAGCAAGCCAAATGGGTCACTGCCTCCTCCTCAAGACTTCTCTTGCTTGGTGAACAAAGCCCTGCATAGCCAACTGGCTTAACAAAGGGAGTAAGATGGAGCGCTTTCTGCTCCTGCCACCATCTCATCCTCTGACCTGGAAAGAAATAGTTGCAATGTCTTTACGTTTTAGGTAACCACCCTTAGGGGACATCATTCCCCAACAGAAAGAAGGAAGGAAAAGTAGGTGGTACCAAAGGGGCAGACAGCCAGAGCTGAAGAGCAAAGGAATGGACCAACACGCATTCATTGGTATGCTACAGATATGTGCAAGCACACAAATGTGTAAAGAGGCTCAGTATTGTGAACAAGCTTGGAATTCTCTTTTATATTTTGTTCTTTTTTATATTTGTTCCTTCCTGTGTCTTCTTATTTGTATTTCTGAGTTTGCTTCTGTGTTCAGACCTCTGTGACAAGCTGGAGGGTGGTGGTGAAGAATGCTCCAAAGTAGGATAGAATATTGCCCCTTTTCCACATGTATGTGAACATGCCAACTGAGTGAATGTGTGCCCACTGAGACTGTGTTTAAACAAACGAATGAGTTATGAAATCCAAATCCATACTAGGGTGTTGGGGTTGAATCCAAAGTTAGTCCCACTCAGACATGCCCATTCATTTTTATGGGTCTACTCTGGGTGTAACTAAATTGACCGCAACCCAATATAAAAATGTTGCAAAAGGTGTGCAAGCTTTTGAGTTCTCCAGAGCTCTTCATCACCAGCAAACCTTTGCTCTCTCCCTGTGCCCCCTTTGCCCTGTTGACATTTAGCCTGGTGAAGAGTCCTGGCAAAGTTTGCACACTGTTTTGTAACATTTTGCTTGATTGGCCTAATGACGCTACTATGGTTTTTATATTTATCTGTGACTATGATTGTTTTAAAACGTGTTTTAATGTTGTGACCTTTCCTGGGACCTTAGGGTGATGGAAATGTAAATAATGATGATGGTAATAACATTTTTTCTAGTGGGCCCACTTGTGTGTAAAGAGAAGAGTAGAGAGAGAGTGAGTGAGAGTGAGTGTGTAAACAAACAATACCCCAGGGTGGTTTAGACCTGGGCAAGGAGATGTTCCAGGCACAAAGTATTGAGGCACCCCACATTTCCTTGCCCGCAGGTGGAGGGCAGTTTAACCACCATGTCGGCCACCCCGGTGTGGGATTCTTGGAGAATTTAAGGATGGAGAATTTTAGCATCTGTAGGCCATTCCTCCAGGCAGAGAGCTGGGGGAGCAGGTTCATCTGGCTGGCTCCACCAGCTGCCCCCCTATCTATATCTACAGTGGATCGAGATCGAGCTATACATATATTTTCCCCTGAGGAGGTGAAGCAGGAAAGCA